ACTGTGCTTTTGAAGAACCTTTTGTCTAGAAGCTCACTCGTCTTTTTAGGCTCCTCTACAATGGGATATTCTGGCCAAGAGGAACAAGGTCCTGGGCTTGCTGGACCAGCATATGCATTAGTCTCCTTTGACCAAGGAGTCACTGTCTTGGTGGATTTGCTCTCCTCTCCTGTTCACCTTTCCCAAGCACTTATCTGTACACTATGCCTTTGAAGAGGCTTTTGTCTAGAAGGCCACTCATCTTTTTGGCATCTCTACAACAGGAGATTCTGGCCAAGTGGAACAAGGTCCTGGGCTTGCTTGATCAGCGCATGCATTGGTCTCGTTAGACCAAGAAGTCACTGTTCTGGTGGATTTGCTCTCCTCTCCTGTTCACCTTGCCCAAGCATTTCTCTGTACACTATGCCTTTGAAGAGGCTTTTTTTAAGAAGGTCAGTCATCTCTTTTGGCACCTCTACCACGGACGATTCTTGCCAAGTTGAGCAAGGTCCTGGGCTTGCTGGACCAGCACATTTGTTTGTCTCATCCAACAAAGGAGTCATAATGTCTTGGTGGATTTGCTCTCCTCTCCTGTTCACCTAGCCCAAGCACTTCTCTGTAGGCTATCCCTTTGAAGAGGTTTTTGCCAAGGTCACTCATCTTTTTGGCATCTTTACAACAGGCTCGCTGGACCGGCACATTTGTTCGTCTCTTCCAAAAGGAGGAGTCAATGTCTTTGTGCATTAGTAGTCCTCTCCTGTTTTCCAAGAAGCCGTTTCTCCTCCTCAGTTGGCAAATAATCTCGAAGGATAAGCGATGGGTCACCTATCTGGTCAATATATTTCAGAGGAAACCAATAATTCCCATCAACAGCATGAAGCTCCAGGCGATTTGTGTCTTTCTATCACTATGTAATGCTCTTCTCAAGGGTTGTCCATTAGGGGTCCAGTCGGCCAATGCACGGACATGGCATACATCAGTCAACAAGGCGGCACCAAGTGCACAGCTGCGGCTCTGGAGTTCTCAAAATCTAAGACTGAGTGGAATGTTTTGTCCCATCAATTTTGGCAGTTCCCACTGGCAAAGTGGACAACTGGTATTCAGACTATACCAGCCGTCAGAGCCTGGAACAAGGAGCATGGCCTCTACACAAGGTGATCTTGATGAATTTGAGGACCTTGAGCCCCTTGGCCAGAATCTCCTGTTGTAAAGGTGCCAAAAAAAGGAGCACCCTTCTTGACAAAAGCATACATAGAAGTGCTTGGGCATAGTGAGCAGGACTTGCACAAAGAGCTGGGTGTTGCAGATGGGAATTTTGGCCACCAGCAGGGACTGCCCCTAGATTGTTGATAACTAGCATCCTTTTCCTGCAGGTGGCATAATAAAACCATTGGTCATGGTCTAAATGTCTGTGTCCTTCAATTAATACAATCCCCCCCCACACCCCAAACACAATCTCAGGGTTGTTCTTCCCGACAGCTCCTTCCATTATTTGCAATTGCGGCAGCTGCAGGGGAGGGGGAGAAACCGCTCAACAGTGGCTGGTAAGGCCTGAAGTGGTATCACCACCAATAGGCCCCAATGTCCCATCCGTTGTCGGCGCTCCCTACTCCCCCCTGCAGTGGCTGACACAGGGGAGCTGGATCACATGACCGGACCAGAGTGGCTTGAAAATAGTACATACACCTTTAATAAACAGGATAGTAAACATAGGTAATAAGAAGGGGACAGTTTTAAGACTAGTTAGGGTCATCTTGGAATTCCACTTCCATTGTCGGTGCTCCCTACTCTCCCCCGCAGTGGCTGACACAGGGAAGCTGGATCCTGATAATAGAAGTGGAATTCCAGGATGACCCTAACTAATAAACAGGTTAGTAAGCATAGGTAATAAGAGGGGGACAGTTTTAAGACTGGTTAGGGTCATCCTGGAATTCCACTTTCGTTGTCGGTGCTCCCTACTCTCCCCTGCATTGGCTGACACAGGGCAGCTGGATCCCATAACCGGACCAGAGTGGCTTGAAAATAGTACCTTTAATAAACAGGATAGTAAGCATAGGTAATAAGCGGGGACAGTTTTAAGACTAGGTATAATCATCCTGGAATTCCACTTCCGTTGTCGGTGCTCCCTACTCTCCCCTGCAGTGGCTGAAACAGGGGAGCTGGATCACATGACTGGACCAGAGTGGCTTGAGAATAGTACCGGTAATAAACAGGTTAGTAAGCATAGTTAAGAGGGGACAGTTTTAAGACTAGGTAGGGTCATCCTAGAATTCCACTTCCATTATCAGGATCCAGCTCCCACATGTCAACCACTGCAGAGGAGAGTAGGGAGCACCGACAATGGAAGTGGAATTCCAGGATAACCCTAACTAGTCCTAAAACCGCCCCCTCTTATTACCTATGCTTACTAACCTGTTTATTAAAAAGATGTATGTACTATTTTCAAGCCACTCTGGTCCGGTCATGATGCTCCCTACTCTCCCCTGCAGTGGCTGACACAGGGGAGCTGGATCCCATGACCGGACCAGAGTGGCTTGAAAATAGTACCTTTAATAAAAAACTCTCCCCTCTTATTACCACTTATGCCTACTAACCTGTTTATTAAAAAGGTACTATTTTCAAGCAACTCTAGTCCGGTCATGGGATCCAGCTCCCCTGTGTCAGTCAGTGCCACTGCAGGGGAGAGTAGGGAGCACAGACAACTGAAGTGGAATTCCAGGATGACCCCAACTAGTCTTAAAACTGTACCCTCTTATTACCTATGCTTACTAACCTGTTTATTAAAAGGTACTATTTTCAAGCCACTCTGGTCCGTTCATGTTATCCAGCTCCCCTGTGTCAGCCACTGCAGAGGAGAGTAGGGAGCACCATGACCGGACCAGAGTGGCTTGAAAATAGTACATACATCTTTATTAAACAGGATAGTATGCATAGGTAATAAGAGGGTACAGTTTTAAGACTAGTTAGGGTCATTCTGGAATTCCATTTCCATTGTCGGGATCCAGCTCCCCCGTCTCAGCCACTGCAGGGGAGAGTAGGGAGCTTCGACAATGGAAGTGGAATTCCAGGATGACCCTAACTAGTCTTAAAACTGTCACCTCTTATTACCTATGCTTACTAACCTGTTTATTAAAAGGTACTATTTTCAAGCCACTCTGGTCCGGTCATGGGGTCCAGCTTCCCTGTGTCATCCAGTGCCACTGCAGGGGAGATTACCTATGCTTACTAACCTGTTTATTAAAGATGTACTATCTTCAAGCCACTCTGGTCTGGTCATGGTACTCCCTACTCTCCCCTGCAGTGGCTGACACAGGGGAGCTGGATCCCATGACCGGACCAGAGTGGCTTGAAAATAGTACCTTTAACAAACAGGTTAGTAAGCATAGGTAATCTCCCCTGCAGTGGCACTGGCTGACACAGGGACGCTGGACCCCATGACCGGACCAGAGAGGCTTGAAAATAGTACCTTTAACAAACAGGTTAGTAAGCAGGGACAGTTTTAAGACTAGTTAAGGTCATCTTGGAATTCCACTTCCGTTGTCGGTGCTCCCTACTCTCCCCTGCAGTGGCTGACACAGGGGAGCTGGATCCCATGACCGGACCAGAGTGGCTTGAAATTAGTACCTTTAATAAACAGGTTAGTAAGCGGGGACAGTTTTTAAGACTAGTTAAGGTCATCTTGGAATTCCACTTCCATTGTCGGTGCTCCCTACTCTCCCGTTGTCAGTGCTCCCTACTCTCCCCTGCAGTGGCTGACAAAGGGGAGCTGGATCCCATGACCAAACCAGAGTGGCTTGAAATTAGTACCTTTAACAGGTTAGTAAGCGGGGACAGTTTTAAGACTATTTATAATCATCCTGGAATTCCACTTCCATTGTCGGTGCTCCCGACTCTCCCGTTGTCAGTGCTCCCTACTCTCCCCTGCAGTGGCTGACACAGGGGAGCTGGATCCCATGACCAGACCAGAGTGGCTTGAAATTAGTACCTTTAATAAACAGGTTAGTAAGCGGGGACAGTTTTAAGACTAGTTATAATCATCCTGGAATTCCACTTCCATTGTCGGTGCTCCCTACTTTCCCGTTGTCAGTGCTCCCTACTCTCCCTGCAGTGGCTGACACAGGGAAGCTGGATCCCATGACCGGACCAGAGTGGCTTGAAAATAGTACACACATCTTTATTAAACAGGTTAGTAAGCATAGGTAGTAAGGAAGGTGGGGGGGGGGGGGGGCAGTTTTTTAGGGTTATCCTGGAATGCCACCTTACAGCACACCAAGGGGGTTAACACTGCCCCCTACAGGATGATTGGTTGAACTTTTGTCTTTTCAGCCAGACTATGTAATTGGACTGTAAGCACGAAAACTGGAGGCCACCCTCTAGGGGTCGCAGCCCCTAGAGGGTGGCCTCCAGTTTTCGTGCTTACAATCCGCACATCCTGTAGGGGGCAGTATAACCTATGCTTAGGGAATATCATCAAAATCATACTGTGTCCCTCTATGGACCGAGAGGGTGACCTGCACCTGGTATTAAAAAAAGAAAAAGAAGAAGAGTGAGAAAGCAGCACCATTTCTGAACGAGGAACTGCTCTGCCAAAAGGAAATGCACATACAAGGTGGTCTTGAATCCTTCTTTATAGAAATGTTTACATTTATGAATGTTACAAAATGCTTGTTTTCTTCTGTGTAAAAGCAGTTTGTGTTTAAACTAAAGGCTTCCATCGAGAAAAAAAAAAAAAAAAAAATGGGGGGTAACTCCGATCACCCCCCCCCCCATTACCTGTGAAGACCCTGGGCCCACAGGACTGCTCCCCCGGTGGATGGGACAGGTATGGCAGACAGTCTGCTCCGCACCGCCCTCTGCAGGCTGGACGTTGTATAGCACAGAAACGTGTGCAAACTGGTGAGGAGCGAGAAGCCTCCTTCCGTCCCCTTTATGCATATGGTATTATGGAAAACGCACCGTCTATGTATAGGACTGCCGACCAATCTGCCACGTAGGCCACGGGAACGGGAAAACCGCTGACGTCAAGCGCTCTCGGCCTCCCTCACGCGACCCAGCAACGAAGAATTCTCCTGTTTGATGGCCTTGTAATCTTCCAGGATCTTCTGCAGATTACTCAGCGTCTTCTTAGCCGTCTCCGTTTCTATCTGCGGGGAGAAAAAAAGATCATTCAGCCATATGTCCAACTCATTTACCCTGGAAGCTAGGAGGCGGGCTACCTGAAGCTCCCAGCATGCTCTGCAGCAGCTGAAGAACTGCGTTAACCCCTTTAACACCATCTAGCACAGGGGTAGGCAACCTGAGAGCCGCAGGACTACAAGTTCCATCGTGCCTCTGCAAGTCATAGCTGTAACTGTCAGTTTTGTAATCTTTGCAATGCATCATGGGAAATGTAGTTCCACAACAGCTAGAGAGCCGCAGGTTGCCTACCCCTGGTCTGGTGCGCACGCCGCATATACGCGTTGCTGGGCGGACGGCGTCTGCGCTTACTGCTCCTGGTCCCCGCGAATGATCGGTAGCTGGAGGGATCGGCTACCGATCATGTGACCACCGCGACAGCCAATCTTTCCCGTCTCCCCTGACAGTCAGAACGCCGGGGAAGGCTTGGCGTCAGAAAGTTAAAGTGTTATTGAACCCACAACAGTACAATCAGTCTGTATAGACACAGTAAGGCATGCTGGTTATACTCACTGTGGAACCTAAGGGGTTAATCCTCTGCATTGTGTAAAAAGGCTGTTTGATCCTGTCTTCTCTGATCCTCCCCTTCTACTACTGTCCCCAATCCATCTGCTGATCGTAGAGCGGAGTCACTCGGCATATGCTCAGTTTAGAGTGTATAGCTAGAGAGATTTTTTTTCCCCCTTTGTCTGGACAGTGCGGATTGGCCCTGTGCTGATCACATGCACCCTCCCAGAGGGGTCAAGGGTTATGCACCCTCCCAGAGGGGTCAAGGGTTATGCACCCTCCCAGAGGGGTCAAGGGTTATGCAGCCTCATAGGACAGTCAGAAAACAACTCCTACAAGCTTTAACCAGTGTTCTGCTGAACACAGATAGAAGTCACAAGACGGCTATATACTGCTGATGAGAAAAGAACATGGAAATGCAATTATTTTAATAAATATAAACTGCTAAATCCCTGTGTACTGTAGTGAAGGCGGGGCCCGGGCAGCGCGCATATAGCAAAGGCGGGGTCCGGGGGGAGCGCATATAGTGAATGCGAGCGGATATATCCGCTCCCCCCGGACCCCGCATTCACTATATCCGCTCTCCCCGGACCCCGCACTCACTATATATCCGCTCCCCCCGGACCCCGCACTCACTATATCCGCTCCCCCCGGACCCCGCACTCACTATACTATATCCGCTCCCCCCGGACCCCGCACTCACTATATCCGCTCCCCCCCGGACCCCGCACTCACTATATCCGCTCCCCCCGGACCCCGCACTCACTATATCCGCTCCCCCCGGACCCCGCACTCACTATATCGCTCCCCCCGGACCCCGCACTCACTAAGCGAATCCGCTCCCCCGGACCCCGCACTAGCACTATATCCGCTCCCCCCGGACCCCGCATTCACTATATCCGCTCCCCCCCGGACCCCGCATTCACTATATCCGCTCTCCCCGGACCCCGTATTCACTATATCCTCTTCCCCCGGACCCCGCATTCACTATGTCCGCTCTCCCCGGACCCCGCATTCACTATATCCGCTCCCCCCCGGACCCCGCATTCACTATATCCGCTCCCACCGGATTTGGGGAGAGCGGATATAGTGAATGCGGGGTCTGGGGGGGAGCGGATATAGTGAATGCGGGGTCCGGGGAGAGCGGATATAGTGAATGCAGGGTCCGGGGGGGAGCGGATATAGTGAATGCGGGGTCCGGGGGGAGCGGATATAGTGAATGCGGGGTCCGGGGGGGAGCGGATATAGTGAATGCGGGGTCCGGGGGGGAGCGGATATAGTGAATGCGGGGTCCGGGGGGGAGCGGATATAGTGAATGCGGGGTCCGGGGGGGGAGCGGATATAGTGAATGCGGGGTCCGGGGGGGAGCGGATATAGTGAATGCGGGGTCCGGGGAGAGCGGATATAGTGAATGCGGGGTCCGGGGGGGAGCGGATATAGTGAATGCGGGGTCCGGGGGGAGAGCGGATATAGTGAATGCGGGGTCCGGGGAGAGCGGATATAGTGAATGCGGGGTCGGGGAGAGCGGATATAGTGAATGCGGGGTCCGGGGACCGGGGTCCTGACGTTCTTTGCTCATTTCCAGTTCCCATAGAGCATCTTTAAAAAAATTTGAGGCCAATTTACTAAAACTGGGGCACTCAGAATCGGGTGCAGCTGTGCCCGGCAGCCAATCAGCTTCTACCTTCAGCTTGCTCAATGAAGCTTTGACAATAAATCCTGGAAGCCGATTGGTCTCTATGCAGAGCTGCACCAGATTTTGCACTCTCCAGTTTTAGTAAATCACCCCCTCTGTGATTTGAACCCGAATCTTTTATTGTAGGACTACTGCAGATGCTCACAGGAACGGTCGCTGAGGAGCAAACACTTTTTCTATAGCCTTTGCAAACACGTGGCTCATAACTCAAATTACCTGCTCCTCCAAGTCTCGGACCTCCCTCAGGATAGTCCCCGTGTCCTCGATGGTCTGAATGAGCTGACCACAATTCTAAGGGAAAATAAAGAAGAAAATGAGGGGAAGGGGGGGTGGTAAAACACATGAAATACAGACCTGATGTCACCATAGTGTTAGCTGTAAAGATGAAGCAGCCTGTTTACAGAGCTCAATAACTCAAGCCCAAATTTATGTAAAGATGATATCATCCCTTACAGGTGGGCTCCATCCAATGTGAGCTAAATTCTGCCCCCCCAGAATTCTTTGGTAGTCTTCAGATGTCAGAATGCCGTGCACACGGTCCAGGCATCCAGTGCCTGAAGCAGCAAAGCCACCCCAAAACCTCAGTGACCCCCCACCATGTGTGACTGGAGGGACTGGAGTCTTTTCTTTAACCACTTGCCCTCCAGAGGATTTACCCACCCCCCCCACCCCCCCCCCTTTCCAGACCAGGCTATTTTGTGCGATGCGGCGCGGGGTTACTTCAACTGGCAATTGTGCTGTCATTCTGCTCCTTGACTTTGCTTAAAAAAAAAAAAATCCCAATACGCGTAAAACTACCTGGTTTACGTGAAAATTAGAAGCAGAATCCCAGGTGCCCCCGCTCTAGGCGCCGAATCCCACGCGCGCCCCCCGCTCTAGACGCCGAATCCCCCACGCGCCCCCCGCTCTAGACGCCTCATCCCACGCGTCCCCCCGCTCTAAAAGCCTCGTCCCAGGTACCCCGCTCTAAAAGCCTCGTCCCAGGTACCCCGCTCTAAAAGCCTCGTCCCAGGTACCCGCTCTAAAAGCCTCATCCCAGGTACCCCGCTCTAGAAGCCTCATCCCAGGTACCCGCTCTAGAAGCCTCATCCCAGGTACCCGCTCTAGAAGCCTCATCCCAGGTACCCTCTAGAAGCCTCATCCCAGGTACCCGCTCTAGAAGCCTCATCCCAGGTACCCGCTCTAGAAGCCTCATCCCAGGTACCCGCTCTAGAAGCCTCATCCCAGTACCCGCTCTAGAAGCCTCATCCCAGGTACCCGCTCTAGAAGCCTCATCCCAGGTACCCGCTCTAGAAGCCTCATCCCAGGTACCCGCTCTAGAAGCCTCATCCCAGGTACCCGCTCTAGAAGCCTCATCCCAGGTACCCGCTCTAGAAGCCTCATCCCAGGTACCCGCTCTAGAAGCCTCATCCCAGGTACCCGCTCTAGAAGCCTCATCCCCACCGCTCTAGAAGCCTCATCCCAGGTACCCGCTCTAGAAGCCTCATCCCAGGTACCCGCTCTAGAAGCCTCATCCCAGGTACCCGCTCTAGAAGCCTCATCCCAGGTACCCGCTCTAGAAGCCTCATCCCACGTACCCCGCTCTAGAAGCCTCATCCCACGTACCCCGCTCTAGAACGCCTCATCCCACGTGCCCCGCTCTAGAAGCCTCATCCCACGTACCCCGCTCTAGAAGCCTCATCCCAGTACCCGCTCTAGAAGCCTCATCCCAGGTACCCGCTCTAGAACCCACGTACCCCGCTCTAGAAGCCGAATCCCACGTGCCCGCTCTAGAAGCCGAATCCCACGTGCCCCCGCTCTAGAAGCCGAATCCCACGTGCCCCGCTCTAGAAGCCGAATCCCACGTGCCCCGCTCTAGAAGCCGAATCCCACGTGCCCCGCTCTAGAAGCCGAATCCCACGTGCCCCGCTCTAGAAGCCGAATCCCACGTGCCCCGCTCTAGAAGCCGAATCCCACGTGCCCCGCTCTAGAAGCCGAATCCCACGTGCCCCGCTCTAGAAGCCGAATCCCACGTGCCCCACTCTAGAAGCCGAATCCCACGTGCCCCGCTCTAGAAGCCGAATCCCACGTGCCCCGCTCTAGAAGCCGAATCCCACCTACCCGCTCTAGTAGCCGAATCCCAGGTACCCGCTCTAGAACCGAATCCCACGTGCCCCGCTCTAGAAGCCGAATCCCACGTGCCCCGCTCTAGAAGCCGAATCCCACGTGCCCCGCTCTAGAAGCCGAATCCCACCTACCTCTACCGCTCTAGTAGCGAATCCCACCTACCCCGCTTCCATTACTGTTTTCTTACCTCGTGTAAGGCAGCCAGATATTTGTAGGCCTTTCGGACTGGTTCATCCTTCTTGGCATCCTGCGCAGAAAACGTTGGGTGTCACAAACAGGCCACACTGAAAGGTTTAGAGACCCACAAAATGTGCAATACCCCACAGAAAAAAACATTTTTAAAAATGACATCAGCTGTGGACGTCTACCACCACGCTAGCCAGACACGGTAGGAATGTTGTCCAATTCGTGGTAAATCAGCCGAAATCCCTGTTGGCGACACCCGGGCTTGACAAATTTCGGGTGAAAACGGTCATCCAATAAGATGCAGCCACTGTCTGGGTGTTCTGATGGCCGCAAGGGGTCGGCGGGGGTCGGAATACAACAGCCATCAGTTTAGCGCACATTGGAGGGGATTCGTGGATTTCTCTCGTGCAGCCCAGATAGCCGAGCTAGAAAGGAATCGATTTGTGCAAAGCTGGCCTTACATGATAAACACAAAATAATCGCTGCCCCGGCAGGGGTCTCCTTCCTAAACAAAGGGCCAGTTAGGGGGGCTGGACTGCGGGAAGTCAGAGAAGATGTCCTGGCGTCACTGGGAGTAAACGATGTTTGGAATTGGGAGGAATAGCGCCCCATCGTTGTGTCAGTGGGAGGAATAGCGCCCCATCGTTGGTGTCAGTGGGAGGAATAGCGCCCCATCGTTGGCGTCAGTGGGAGGAATAGCGCCCCATCGTTGGCGTCAGTGGGAGGAATAGCGCCCCATCGTTGGGTCAGTGGGAATAGCGCCCCATCGTTGGCGTCAGCCCCATCGTTGGGTCAGTGGGAGGAATAGCGCCCCATCGTTGGCGTCATCGTTGGCGTCAGTGGGAGGAATAGCGCCCCATCGTTGGCGTCAGTGGGAGGAATAGCGCGCCCCATCGTTGGCGTCAGTGGGAGGAATAGCGCCCCATCGTTGGCGTCAGTGGGAGGAATAGCGCCCCATCGTTGGCGTCAGTGGGAGGAATAGCGCCCCATCGTTGGCGTCGGGAGGAATAGCGCCCCATCGTTGGCGTCAGCGCCCCGGGAGTGGAGGAATAGCAGTGGGAGGAATAGCCCCATCGTTGGCAGTGGGAGGTAGCGCCCCAGTCAGTGGGAGGAATAGCGCCCCCCATCGTTGGCGTCAGCGGTCAGGGAGGAATAGCGCCCCATCGTTGGCGTCAGCGCCCCGGGAGGAATAGCGCCCCATCGTTGGCGTCAGCAGGGAGGAATAGTGCGCCCCATAGCGCCCCATCGTTGGCGTTGGAATGTCATCGTTGGTGTCAGTGGGAGGAATAGTGCCCCCCCGTCATGGTTGGTGTCAGTGGGGGGAATATGCCCCATGTTCCCCGTCATTGGTGTCAGTGGGGGGAATAGTGGCCTGTCATTGGTGTCAGTAGGGGGGAATAGTGGCCTGTCATTGGTGTAAGTAGGGGGGAATAGTGGCCTGTCATTGGTGTCAGTGGGGGGAACAGTACCCCACCATTGGGGTTAATTGTAGGAATGGTGTCCCATGCTTGGTGTCATTGGAAAGGCTCCTGCAACTTTCCCAGACCCCAAGGACAGGTGGAGACTTTAATAAAATCCCGTTAACGGCGGAGCGTTCCGGCCGGCGAGTCGTCATTTATTTTTGGTGTCCCAAGTGAATGGACTATTTTAGGTTTGCTCGTTGTCCCCGGAGGACGATACGTTTTCAGTTTGCCTGTTATGAAAGTAAAAAGTGACGGTTTGCCATCACCAAGTCGGCTGGCCTGTGGTTTCCCGCATATTCCTGGAACTACGACAAGAATACACAGATCTACGGAACATAAAAATACTCGACCTTAAACACGAGCTCGTCGGTGACCACAAACGTCCGGTCCACTTTTCCTGTTAAACTGTTTATTTCCTTTTGCAGTTCTTTAGTGTCTGAAAGGATCTGAAAACACACAGCGATGGAAAAAAAAAAAAAAAAAAAAAAAAAAAAAAAAGAAAAAAAGAAGAATAATTTTTTTTATTAGTTACTAGTTTGGTTTAACATCTGAGCAGTCACAATACGGGCAACAATGGACATGGAAGAGTTCATCTCGCACCTCTGAAAGGGTTACTAAGCCCACCGCAGTGACATCAGTCTGTAGATGCAGTAAAAGCAGGGGCCTCCAAACTGTGACCCCCCAACTGTTGAAGTACTACAAGTCCCATCATACCTCTGGGAGTCTTGTCTTTTTTTTTTTTTTTAACCACATGAGCTCCTGAGGATTTACCCCCCTTAATGCTCAACAGGCCTCTTTTTGCTGTTTGGCGCTGCACTAATTCAAATGATACTCATTGTGGAACCTCATGCAATGCTGCAATCCAAACTTTTTTTACGTTTTTTTTTTCACACAAATAGAGCTTTCTTTTGATCCTATTATCTCTGTGCGCTTTTTATTTTTTGTGCTATAAAACTCAAAAAAAAAAAAAACAGTATTTTCCTACTTTCAGCTATAAAAAATATATCGTAAACTCAAAGTTAGTCATAAATTTAAGCCAAAATGTATTTGCTCCATGTTTTTGGTAAAAAAAATCCTGTGATCATTAGCAGGCAAACTGGCGCACTGTATGGGAGGGTTCGCTAACACTATCGGAAGCACCAGTGACACTAATACAGTGATCAAGTAAAAATCTGTTCACTGTAATCAATGACACTGGTGACAGGGCAATGAAGGGGTTAACTGGGGGTGTGGGGTGGGGGGGGGCGATCAAGGGGTTAAATGGGATTACTGGTGTACTAAGCGGGCAAACTGGCGCTATTTGGGAGGGGCGCTAACACTATTGGAAGTCGCCAGCGACACTAATACAGTGATCAGTAAAAATATATTCACTGATCAGTGACACTGGTGACAGGGCAGTGAAGGGGTTAACTCGGGGGGGGGGGGGGGGGGGCGACAGGGGTGGGGTGTTAGACGGGGCCCGGGGATTGGTGTATTAGCAGGAACGCTGGCGCTATCTGGGAGGGGCGCTAACACTATCGGAAGTCGCAGCGACACTGATACAGTGATCGGAAAACAAATCGGTTCACTGAGGGCAGTGACACTGGTGAACGCGGCGAAAACGGGGAGCGCGGACACCAGTTTTAAAACGTGGTTTTGCGCCCGGTGCCGCCCTGCACACATATGAACAGTGGCAAGGGGCAGGGCGGTTAAACACAAGCAGTTTGAACCTGTCTTCTCTGATCCTCCCCTTCTTCCAGTGACCCCCTCATCTCCTGATAAGACATATGGTGTGGGGAGGGCGGACTCAGTGCACATGCTCAGTTAAGGTGTGTATTGCTAGAGAGGTTTTTTCTTCTTCTTGGGAGAGTGAACGCGGGGATCAGTACAGGACCAGTCAGCACTCTCCAGTCAGGGTTCTGCATCCACGCAGAGCAAAATGAAACCTCGGCCCGGGACAAGCGGACACCAGTGCTCTGTGAATGCTAGGCTCCTGGGTTTCGTAACACTTTAAATCGGTGCAAATCAGAGACCGACACAGAGAACGCGATTCCCGGGGATAAGCGGACCAGTGAACTGCGGGACCTGATAGAAGTCACGGACTGCTATGAACTGCTGATGGGAAAAGGTATTTAGCAGTTTATATGTACTAAAATAATTGCACTTCCACTGTTCGTGTACTGGGGAGAGCGGACACAGGGGACGCGGGGCCCGGGGAGGGCGGACACAGTGAACGCGGGGCCCGGGGAGGGCGGACACAGTGAACGCGGGGCCCGGGGAGGGCGGACACAGTGAACGCGGGGCCCGGGGAGGGCGGACACAGTGAACGCGGGGCCCGGGGAGGCGGACACAGTGAACGCGGGGGCCCGGGGAGGGCGGACACAGTGAACGCGGGGCCCGGGGAGGGCGGACACAGTGAACGCGGGGTCCGTGGAGAGCGGACACAGTGAACGCGGGGTCCGGGGAGAGCGGACATAGTGAACGCGGGGTCCGTGGATCAGTTTGGTGTGTACTGCTAGAGAGTTTTTTTTTTTCCCTTGGGAAAGTGCATGTGATCAGCACAGAACCAATCAGCACTGTCCAGACAGAGGTCAGGGGCTCTGCATCCTCCTAGAGCAAAATGAAAAAAAACTCCTCCTACAAGCTTTAAACCAGTGCTCTGTGAATGCTAGGCTCCGGGGTTTAGTAACACTTTAAATCGGTGCAAATCAGAGACCGATACATAGACCCATTATCGAAATATAAATGTATTGGCTCCTCCAAAAACGGAGAGAATGAAATCTCATGTGTGACAAAGAAGACATTTTCGTGCCGGGACTCTGAAACGAACATTACCTTGGTGATTTCCTCCTTTTGCTTCTTAATATTGCTGACAATCTCCAAGATGCGCTGGGTGTAGGCGGCTCGGGAGACCTCCTTAGGAAGGGATTCGTACTCAGACACCTGTAAAAAGGAGAAAAAAAAAAAAAAAAGCATGGCCAAATGAATTCTGAAACTCCTGGGCTGGGACGAGGAGCTCCACAAGGTCAGTAGCCCCACATGGAGTTCTTTTTTGGGAAGGCAAGCCTCGTTGCCCTCAAAGAACCAGGGAAATCCAACAGGAGCTGCGTGCCAAGCTGGCTCTGACAGGGGATATCCAACAGGAGCTGCGTGCCAAGCTGGCTCTGACAGGGGATATCCAACAGGAGCTGCGTGCCAAGCTGGCTCTGACAGGGATATCCAACAGGAGCTGCGTGCCAAGCTGGCTCTGACAGGGGATATCCAACAGGAGCTGCGTGCCAAGCTGGCTCTGACAGGGGATATCCAACAGGAGCTGCGTGCCAAGCTGGCTCTGACAGGGGATATCCAACAGGAGCTGCGTGCCAAGCTGGCTCTGACAGGGATATCCAACAGGAGCTGCGTGCCAAGCTGGCTCTGACAGGGATATCCAACAGGGGCTGCGTGCCAAGCTGGCTCTGACAGGGATATCCAACAGGGGCTGCGTGCCAAGCTGGCTCTGACAGGGATATCCAACAGGGCTGCGTGCCAAGCTGGCTCTGACAGGGATATCCAACAGGGGCTGCGTGCCAAGCTGGCTCTGACAGGGATATCCAACAGGAGCTGAGCGCCAAGCTGGCTCTGACAGGGATATCCAACAGGAGCTGCGTGCCAAGCTGGCTCTGACAGGGATCTCCAACAGGGGCTGCACGCCAAGATGGCTCCGACAGGGATATCCAACAGGAGCTGCGCGCCAAGCTGGCTCTGACAGGGATCTCCAACAGAGCTGCGCGCCAAGCTGGCTCTGACAGGGATATCCAACAGGGGCTGCGCGCCAAGCTGGCTCTGACAGGGATATCCAACAGGGGCTGCGCGCCAAGCTGGCTCTGACAGGGATATCCAACAGGGGCTGCGTGCCAAGCTGGCTCTGAGGAAGAGGTTCTGCCTCAAAACGCGTCAGCCATTTGAAGGCCTACACTACCCCCCCCAACAGCCACCATCTAGGGAGGTTGGACCGTGCGGTCCTTTTTTTTTTGTGATGTGCCTTTGATTTTATTCTTTTGTGAGACTTATTCAATAAATCTCATTTTTAGAAGGTGATGCACTAGGCTCATCATTTTTATGCAACTGCAAGCTGTAAAAGATTTGAGAAGAATCAAAAACGTGAAGTGACCAAGAAGCCATCATCCTCCAGGGCTGTCCTACTCCAGAACTGCAACCTACCAGAAGAACAAGGTGTTCCGTGCTCAGAGACATGGCCAAGGTAAGGGAGGCTGAATCCAGACCACCACTGAACAAGACACGTAGTTTGAAACGTCAAGACTTGGCCAAAAAATATCTGGACAGATTATTAGGCAAGTATTTGGACCTACTCCAGAACTGCAACCTACCAGAAGAACAAGGTGTTCCATGCTCAGACATGGCCAAGGTAAGGAAGGCTGAAACCCGACCACCACTGAACAAAACAAGTAGGTTGAAATGTCAAGACTGGGCCAAGAAATATCTGAAGACAGATTATTAGGCAAGTATTCGGACCTACTCCAGAACTGCAACCTACCTGGAGAGCCCAGAAGATCAAGGTGTTCAATGCTCAGAGACATGGTTGGGTTTCAGCCCTCCTTACCTTGGCCAGGTCTCGAGTACTGAACACTGAACACCTTGATCTTCTGGGCTCTCCAGGTAGGTTGCAGTTCTGGAGTAGGTCCAAATACTTGCCCAATAATCTGTCTTCAGATATTTCTTGCACCAGTCTTGACGTCTCAACCCAAGTGCCTTGTTAAGTGGTGGTCGGGTTTCAGCCCTCCTTACCTTGACCACCATGAACAAGACACACCAGTTGAAACGTCAAGACTGGGCCAAGAAATATCTGTAGACAGATTATTAGGCGAGTATTTGGACCAAATCATCACTTTTATGCCTATTGTTTAACTCCGAGCTGTAAATTGCCGAAGATTTAAGAACCAAAACGTAAAGCGACCAGGAAGCCATTATCCTCCAGGGTTGTCCTACCTCAGAACGGCAACCTACCTGGAGAGCCCAGAAGAACAAGGTGTTCAGTGCTCAGAGACATGGCCAAGGTAAGGAAGGCTGAACCCGACCACCACTGAACAAGACATCAGTTGAGAAGTCAAGATTGGGCCAAGAAATATCTGAAGACAGATTATTAGGCGAGTATTTGGACCTACTCCAGAACTGCAACCTACCTGAAGAGCCCAGAAGAAGATCAAGGTGTTCAGTGCTCAGAGAAATGGCCAAAAAAAGGGTGGCTGAAACCCAACCACCACTGAACAAGACACGTAGGTTGAAATGTCAAGACTGGCCAAATAATATCTGAAGACAGATTATTAGGCAAGTATTTGGACCTACTCCAGAACTGCAACCTACCTGGAGAGCCCAGAAGATCAAGGTGTTCAATGCTCAGAGACATGGTCGGGTTTCAGCCCTCCTTACCTTGGCCATGTCTCTGAGCACTGAACACCTTGATCTTCTGGGCTCTCCAGGTAGTTTGCAGTTCTGGAGTAGGTCCAAATACTTGCCTAATAATCTGTCTTCAGATATTTCTTGGACCAGTCTTGACGTCTCAACCTAAGTGTCTTGTTAAGTGGTGGTCGGGTTTCAGCCCTGCTTACCTTGGCCACCACTGAACAAGACATGTAGGTTGAGTCCCCGACGCTCCCCCCCCCTTCCGGTCCCGACGCTCTCCCCCCCCCCCCTTCCAGTCCCGACGCTCTCCCCCCCCCCCCCCCCTTCCAGTCCCGACGCTTCCCCCCCCCCCCTTCCAGTCCCGACGCTCTTCTCCCCCCCCCCCCCTTCCAGTCCCGACGCTCTTCCCGCCCCCCCCCCCCCTTCCAGTCCCGACGCTCTCCCCCCCCCCCCCCCTTCCAGTCCCGACGCTCTCCCCCCCCCAGTCCCGCCCCCCCCTTCCAGTCCGACGCTCTCCCCCCCCCCCCCCCCTTCCAGTCCCGACGCTCTCCCCCCCCCCCCCTTCCAGTCCCGACGCTCCCCCCCCCCCCCCTTCCAGTCCCGACGCTCTCCCCCCCCCCCCCCCCCCCTTCCAGTCCCGACGCTCTCCCCCCCCCCCCCCTTCCAGTCCCGACGCTCTCACCCCCCCCCCCCCCCCCCCTCCAGTCCCGACGCCCCCCCCCCCCCTTCCAGTCCCGACGCTCCCACCCCCCCCCCCCTTCCAGTCCCCGACGCTCTCCCCCCCCCCCCCCCCCCCCTTCCAGTCCGGACGCTCCCCCCCCCCCCCTTCCATCCGGACGTCCAGTCCGGACGCTTTCCCCCCCCCCCCTTCCAGTCCGGACGCTTTCCCCCCCCCCCTTCCAGTCCGGACGCTTTCCCCCCCCCCCCTTCCAGTCCGGACACTTCACCCCCCTTCCAGTCCGGACACTTCACCCCCCCCCCCTTCCAGTCCGGACACTTCCCCCCCCTTCCAGTCCGGACACTTCACCGGGGACACTCTTTCACCCCCCTTCCAGTCCCGGACGCTTCCTTCCCCCCCTTCCAGTCCGGACGCTTCACCCCCCTTCCAGTCCGGACACTTCACCCCCCTTCCAGTCCGGACGCTTTCACCCCCCTTCCAGTCCGGACACTTCACCCCCCTTCCAGTCCGGACACTTCCCCCCTTCCAGTCCGGACACTTTACCCCCCTTCCAGTCCGGACACTTTACCCCCCTTCCAGTCCGGACACTTTACCCCCCTTCCAGTCCGGACACTTTACCCCCCTTCCCCGGACACTTTCACCCCCCTTCCAGTCCGGACACTTTACCCCCCTTCCAGTCCGGACACTTTACCCCCCTTCCAGTCCGGACACTTCCCCCCCTTCCAGTCCGGACACTTTCCCCCCCCTTCCAGTCCGGACACTTTCACCCCCTTCCTGTCCAGGCCAATTTTCAGCTTTCAGCGCTATCACACTTTGAATGACAATTGCGCGGTCATGCAACACTGTACCCATATGAATTTTTTAGCATTCTTTTTGATACAGATAAAACTTTATTTTGGTGGTATTTACTCACCGCTGGGATTTTATTTTTTTTTGCTATAAAAATGAAAACGTCCAAAAATTACAAAAAAAAAAAAAAAAAAGAAAAAAAAAAGTTTTTCTTATAAAATTTTGCAAATGAATAATAATCTCTTCATAAATCTCGGCCAAAATGTATTCAGTTATCTTTTTAGTAAAAAAAACAAAAAAAAAACAAAACATTAGTTTACAACCAAAAATTATAAATTTTTCAACATTTGTTTTTACATTTTTTATTTTATTATATTATGTTTTTATTTTTAACATACTGTCACCCTAGCAGTAGGGTCACCATGGTGACACTGTACTACTTGTGGGGGGTGATGAAGATTTTTTTTTCTTTCCACACCGATTGCTTTTACACCCATAAAGGATGTAAAAGCAATCATTTCTCCTTCTCTCTGGCTGCATTTCTTGAAAGAAATACTGTGTGAGCTGTGATTGGTCACAGCTTGTCACATGGTACAAGGCTGTTGTGAATGGCCCTGTACCGTGTGATCTCTGTGATCATTCACAGATTTCACAAGTAGTAAGCAGTGATGTCAGAAATGACTACTCTACATGTGATCACTGATTTAGCCAATCAGTGCTCACATGATCGGGAGCTCACACAGAGGTCCGGTACGACGATCGGTGTTCTGCTGTGTCTGGAGGACACAGCAGGCACCGGAACGCGGTGCTGCGCGCTCCCAGGGAGGACGTTTATAAAAAATGGCCACCCGTCCCTGCATTGCTCCCGTTCGGCCGATTATGTACATGGGCCGGACGGGAAGTGTTTTAAAGTGCAAGTTCATGAAAAAAAAATCACAATTAAAAAACAAAAAAAAACAAAAAAAACAAACAAAAACAAAAAAAAAAAACGGTGAATTAACACCCTACCACCCTCCTCACCCGTGTATTGAAGAGAGAAGACAGTCTGCTTACCAGCTGCTTGTATAGCTCTTCTTTGCGCTTGGCCTCATCAGCGGCGGCTCGGATTTTGTCATATAAATCTTTGACGTCTTTCATCCAACGAGAAGACTCGTCCTGTGAAAGAACGGACCGGAGATTTTTTAGTATCTTACAGTCCATTCTTAACCACTTCAAGTCCAGGCCAAAAAAATTTTCAGCTTTCAGCGCTGTCACACTTTGAATGACAATTGTGCGGTCAACACTGGACCCGTATGAATTTAGCATTTTTTTTTTTACATTTAAAAAAAAACAAACAAAAAACAAAAAAAAAAACACAAACTTTATTTTGGTGGTATTTATTCACCACTGGGATGTTTATTTTTTTGCTATATAAATGAAAAAGTCCAAAAAGTTTAAAAAAAAAAAAAAACAAAGAAGTGTTTTTTTCTTATAAAATTTTGCTAATAAATAATCTTTCTGCTCAAATCTTGACCAAAATGTATTCATCTTTTTAGTGAAAAAAGAAAAACCTAAAAATTAGTTTATAACCAAAAATTATAATTTTTTTTATATTATTTATGGGGTTTTTTTTTTTCCCCCCCCACAGTATACAGAACATGGAAATGCAAAATATTTTAGTAAAGAAGTCTTTGTGACTTGTATCAGTGTCCAGCAGAGCACATGTTAAGCTGGGGAGGGGGCAGGCTGCTCTGTGCAGAACCGCTGCACACAGCAGGTAAGTAGACATATTTTTTTTTTTTTTAATTATGTCTATACTTACCTGCTGTGGGGGGAAAAAAAACCCATAAATAATATAAAAAAAAAAAAATTAAAAAAAAAAAAAAATATAATTTTTGGGTATAAACTAATTTAGTTTTTTTTTTTTTTTCACTAAAAAGATAGATGAATACCTTTTGGCCAAGATTTGAGCAGAAAGATTATTTATTTGCAAAATGTTATAAGAAAAACACTTTTTTTTTTTTTTTTTTTTTAAACTTTTTGGACTTTCATTTATATAGCAAAAAAAAAAAAAAAAAAAAAAAATCCCAGTGGTAAATAAATACCACCAAAAATAAAGTTGTTTTTGTTTTTTTTTTAAATTAAGCCTTTAGAATCACTTTTGCAAGTTTTCAGGCACTACTGACATGTATGAACCATGTGCTGAGCGCAGGCGTGCTTCATGGTGCGTACTGACATGTAAACAAATGATGCATTCTGTATGCAGGCCAAATAATCGATTATATTAGTGGACATTGTACCTCCTTCTTTTGGTGAACCCTCCTCAGCTCTCTGTACTCTTTCCACCAGCCGAAACCCGATGGCATTCCCCTGACCAGCAAGGTTCACCAGCCGCTGAGTGCTGCCGTCTACCATGGCCTAGAAAAACAAACAAAAAAAACAACAAAAAAAAAAATAAAAAAATTACAAAGAAAAAAAAACAAAACACCAAAAAAACACAAAAAAAACCCCCCACTGAATTATATATAGTAACACCTTTTAACTGTGCCGGGCAAAGCAACAGATAATTAAAAATTCTGTCTAATAGCTCAAACAGTTGTATAGATAGTACCGGGGTATATATACGATAAAAAATTGGTATATATAAAAAAAAAATAAATATATATATATAAAATCTATATATATAAAATATTATATAATATATTATATAAAATACAGTTGTGACCAAAAAATTATTCAACCCCCACTGAAAATTGAGTGTTTTGGCCAGTTTGACATTGCTTTTGATCATTCAGTCATCTTGCTTACATTTACATTAAAGAGGCACTTGTAGGTCAGACACAAATATAACATAACAGTTATAATGAAATAACCACAAATGTCTTTTCTGTGCTCACAGCATTATCAGTTTTATTCAACCCCCAAGTGACATTCAATCTTAGTACTTAGTACAGCATCCTTTTACAGTTATAACAGCTTTTAAACGTGAAGCATAGCTTGACACAAGTGTCTTGCAGCGCCTACGGGTATCTTCGCCCATTCTTCATGGCAAAGGCCTCCAGTTCAGTCACATTCTTAGGCTTGCGCACTGCAACTGCTTTCTTTAAGTCCCACCAGAGGTTCTCAATCGGATTTAAGTCTGGTGACTGCGATGGCCACTCCAAAATGTTCCCAGCCTTTCCTCTGCAACCATGCTCTAGTGGACTTGGAGGTATGCTTGGGATCATTGTCCTGTTGAAAGGTCCAACGTCTCCCAAGCCTCAGGTGTGTGACGGACTGCATCACGTTTCCATCCAATATCTCCTGGTACTGAAGAGAATTCATGGTACCTTGCACACGCTGAAGCTTCCCTGTACCTGCAGAAGCAAAACAGCCCCAAAGCATGATTGACCCCTCCACCATGCTTCACAGTAGGCAAGGTGTTCTTTTCATCAAAGGCCTTGTTCTTCCTCCTCCAAACATAGCGTTGATCCATGGGCCCAAACAGTTCTAATATTTTGTTTCATCAGTCCACAGAACACTATCCCACAACTTTTGTGGTTTGTCCACATGGCTTTTGGCATATACTCTTCTTATTCTTTGGAGACAGCAAGGGGGTACGCCTGGGAGTTCTGGCACGGAGGCCTTCATTACGCAGTGTGCGTCTTATTGTCTGGGCTGAAACTTCTGTACCCACATCTGACAAATCTTTTCTCAGTTCCTCAGCAGTCACACGGGGGGACTTCTCTCCCCACTCTACGCTTCAGGTAGCGCACAGCAGTCGAAGTCAGCATCTTCTTCTTTCTGCCACGACCAGGTAGCGTTTCAACAGTGCCCTTTGCCTTGAATTTGCGAATGATGCTTCCTAAGGTGTCTCTTGGTATGTTTAACATCTTTGCAATCTTCTTTATAGCCATTGCCCTTCCTGTGAAGAGAAATCACCTCTTCTCTTGTCTTCTTCCTGACCATTCTCTTGCCTTCACCATGTTTGTAACCACACCCAGTAAATGTCTAGAAGAGCTGAGTAATCACAGTCATTTTAAAGCTGCCTAATTGTGCTTATTATGCTTGATTATGCTGCTCGGGTGACTCCACAGGTGTTTTCAATACCTGATGGAAAGCACCTGTATGAACCTCTGTTCTTCAGAGTGGTAGTCTTTAAGGGGATGAATAATTGTGGCAATGAAGAAACCACATAAGAACCATTTTTACTACTGTACTTACATAAACAATTGATGTCATTTTAGTTGCATTTGGGTAGTTACAAGCGTTCCTTGTAGGATTTGAACATTCTGAATACAATTCCAAATGTACACTATAGTCCTAAAAACCCTTTACAGCATTGGGGGTTGAATATTTTGGTCACAAAACTGTATATTAGTAATATATATAAAATAATATATATAAAATATATAAATAAAATATATAAATAAAATATATAAATAAAATATATATATATAAAATATATAAATAAAATATATATATATATATATATATATATATATATATATATATAAAATATATATATATATAATATATATATAATATATATTATATTATATTATAATATAATATATAAAATATATAAAATAATATAAAATATATAAAATATATAAAAATATAAAATATATATATAAAAATATATTATATATATATATATATAAAATAAAATAATAATAAAAAATTATATATTATATAACAAACACAAAAATTTTTTTTTTTACAATTAAATAATTCTACCAAACAACCAAAAAAATATATATTTTATTTTGGTTTATTTTGTAGAATTACTGTAATTGTGAAATATAATATTTTTTTTTTCACAATTACGAGTAATTCTTCTTCATCTAAAAAAAACCAAAAAACCAAAATATATATATCATTTTGGTTCACAATTTTACAGTAATTCTACAAAAAAACAAAAACAAAAAATAAAAAATTATATAAAAATATCTATCATTTTTGTTCACAATTACAGTAATTCTACAAAAAAAACAAAAACAAAAAATAAAAAAATTATATAAAATATCTATCATTTTTTTTCACCATTACAGTAATTAAAAAAAAAAAAAAAAAAAAAAAAAATGCTTAAAATAGCGATCTGTACAATAGGCTGGTGTGCTTTTGATCACGTACATATTAAAATGGCATCCTTCACACTTAAAATTTTAGGAGGGAGCTCTCACACCTTAGGGGCCAATCGAGGAGGGAGCTCTCCCACGGACGCCAACGAAGAGGGAGCTCTCCCACGGACGCCCAACGAAGTGGGATGCTCTCCCACGGACGCCAAACGAAGAGGGAGCTCTCCCACGGACGCCAACGAAGAGGGAGCTCTCCCACGGTAGCCTGCCCAACGAAGAGGGAGCTCTCCCACGGACGCCAACGAAGAGGGAGCTCTCCACGGACGCCAACGAAGAGGGAGCTCTCCCACGGACGCCAACGAAGAGAGCTCTCCCACGGGACGCCAACGAGAGGGAGCTCTCCCACGGACGCCAGCGAAGAGGGAGCTCTCCCACGGACGCCAGCGAAGAGGGAGCTCTCCCACGGACGCCAACGAAGAGGGAGCTCTCCCCACGGACGCCAACGAAGAGGGAGCTCTCCCACGGACGCCAACGAAGAGGGAGCTCTCCCACGGACGCCAACGAAGAGGGAGCTCTCCCAGGGGACGCCAAACGAAGAGGGAGCTCTCCCACGGACGCCAACGAAGAGGGAGCTCTCCCACGGACGCCAACGAAGAGGGAGCTCCTCCCACGGGACGCCAACGAAGAGGGAGCTCTCCCACGGACGCCAACGAAGAGGGAGCTCTCCCACGGACGCCAACGAAGAGGGAGCTCTCCCACGGACGCCAACGAAGAGGAGCTCTCCCACGGAAGCCAACGAAGAGGGAGCTCTCCCACGGACGCCAACGAAGAGGGAGCTCTCCCACGTACGCCAACGAAGAGGGAAGCTCTCTCCCACGGACGCCAACGAAGAGGGAGCTCTCCCACGGACGCCAACGAAGAGGGAGCTCTCCCACGGACGCCAACGAAGAGGGAGCTCTCCCACGGACGCCAACGAAGAGGGAGCTCTCCCACGGACGCCAACGAAGAGGGAGCTCTCCCACGGACGCCAACGAAGAGGGAGCTCTCCCACGGACGCCAACGAAGAGGGAGCTCTCCCACGGACGCCAACGAAGAGGGAGCTCTCCCCACGGACGCCAACGAAGAGGGAGCTCTCCCACGGACGCCAACGAAGAGGGAGCTCTCCCACGGACGCCAACGAAGAGGGAGCTCTCCCACGGACCGCCAACGAAGAGGGAGCTCTCCCACGGACGCCAACGAAGAGGGAGCTCTCCCACGGACGCCAACGAAGAGGGAGCTTTCCCACGGACGCCAACGAAGAGGGAGCTTTCCCACGGACGCCAACGAAGAGGGAGCTTTCCCACGGACGCCACTTGGGTGTATATTCTCCAGATACTCATCCATTAAACTCTGCACTTGGCTGGATTACCTGCAACTTGGCAAGATTGTTGTCTGCGTCGGGCAATAATTCCACCGCTCTCTTCTTTACTCTGACCACGTCCTCCTTCTCTTCACAGCGATCGTGCATCGTACTCGTCTCCTCCTCCACCTGTATGAAGAGGATCACAGGACTCATAGAAAGCTCTCATTTCTTTTCATGGAGATTTCCCTTCCCCAACCAAAGCCAGACCAGTATAAAAGTTTATCAAAGCCTTCTTAAAAGTGATATTAAACGGATCAGTAAAAAAAAAAAAAAAACCAGAAACAAAAAAACACAAAACAAACAAAAACACAAAACAAAAACCACAAAAAAAAAAAAAAAAAAAAAAAAAAAAAAACACACAAAACATGCTATACTCACCTGCGTTCTACAATGGTTTTGTACAGCGCAGTCCCAATCCTCTTCTCAGTTCCACTGCCAGCGCCACTGGCTCCTCCCCCTTGACCAGTGCCCCCAATAGCAAGCTGCTTGCTATGGAGGCACTGGTGCATACTCGCTCATGAGCCCCATGCTTTACGTCCATAAGACTCCGCCCCGGCTCTCTCTCCTGGGGTCAAGAAGACCCCAGATCCCCCCTCCGCATTCAAGCACACCAAGATCTATGGGATTGAATGGTTCCTTCTTTTGGCGCCCGTTGTTTCTGAGTAAACAGGAAGTGATGTCAGGCCATTACGGGTAACCAATCGGAGACCTGATTGAAGCGGGTTCCCAGTTTGTTCGGGTGTCCGACTGGTTGCTCGGGTCTCCCGGTGGGACAGGAGAGCCGACTTCCGGGTGCAGGCATCAACCCGGTATAACCACTCAAAGTCAAGAAACTTACCCGTACGTTGACTGGCAGCGAGTGGTTAAAAGTGGAGCTCCACCCAAAAGGGGAAGTCCCACGTTAAGCCTTTGTTCCCCCCGCTCCCCATTAGGGATTGGCACCTTTGGGGAGCGGGTACCCCGAAATAAATCAATCGAACAAAATTTGAAGCCCCAACGCGACTTGGATGGGTCGCTTGTTTCTGTATGATGTCTCCTCCTGTCCACGCTCTGTCCGGCCTCTTACCTGAGTGAGGGTGAGCTGGAGGAGTTTGGCGCTCTCTGTCAGCCCTTTGATCTCCTGCTCTACGAGTTCAATCTGCTGCTGTAGAGATGTCAGTTCTTGCTGCTCGGCATCTGCATCCTAAAATAGAAGGAAAAAAGCAAGGAGTAAGCGTCCGCTACGTCCGCTCTCCCCGGACCCCGCGTCCGCTACGTCCGCTCTCCCCAGACCCCGCTACATCCGCTCTCCCCGGACCCCGCATTCACTACATCCGCTCTCCCCGGACCCCGCATTCACTACATCCGCTCTCCCCGGACCCCGCATTCACTACATCCGCTCTCCCGGACCCCCCCGCATTCACTACATCCGCTCTCCCCGGACCCCGCATTCACTACATCCGCTCTCCCCGGACCCCGCATTCACTACATCCGCTCTCCCCGGACCCCGCATTCACTACATCCGCTCTCCCCGGACCCCGCATTCACTACATCCGCTCTCCCCGGACCCCGCATTCACTACATCCGCTCTCCCCGGACCCCGCATTCACTACATCCGCTCTCCCCGGACCCCGCATTCACTACATCCGCTCTCCCCGGACCCCGCATTCACTACATCCGCTCTCCCCGGACCCCGCATTCACTACATCCGCTCTCCCCGGACCCCGCATTCACTACATCCGCTCTCCCCGGACCCCGCATTCACTATATCTGGTCTCCCCAGACCCCGCATTCACTATATCCGCTCTCCCCGGACCCCGCATTCACTATATCCGCTCTCCCCGGACCCCGCATTCACTATATCCGCTCTCCCCGGACCCCGCATTCACTATATCTGGTCTCCCCAGACCCCGCATTCACTATATCTGGTCTCCCCAGACCCCGCATTCACTATATCCGGTCTCCCCGGACCCTGCATTCACTATATCCGCTCTCCCCGGACCCCGCATTCACTATATCCGCTCTCCCCGGACCCTGCATTCACTATATCCGCTCTCCCCGGACCCTGCATTCACTATATCCGCTCTCACAGAACATGGAAATTCAATTATTTTAGTAAATATAAACTGTTAAATCCCTTTTCTCATCAGCAGTATATAGCAGTGACTTCTATCAGTGCCCAGCAGAGCACTGGTTAAAGCTTATAGGAAGAGATTTCTTTCTGCTCTAGGAGGATGCAGAACCCCTGGATAGGCCCTGTGCTGATCACATGCACTCTCCCAAGAAAAAAAAAAACAAACTTCTAGCAATACACACCAAACTGAGCATGTGCAGAGTGACTCCACACAATATGTATTATCAGGAGATACGGGAGAGGTGGTGGAGGGGGGGGGGGGTGGAGGGGGTGAGGGGGGGGGGGGGGGGGGGGGGGGGGGGGGGGGGGGAGAACGATGGAGGAAGGGGAGGATCAGAGAAGACAAGATCAAAACATCCTTTTTACACAATGCGGAGGATTAACCCCTTAGGTTCCACAGGGAGTATAACAAGTATGCTTTACTGCATCTATTGTGGGTTTGGTAACACTATGTGCACGCCCCATGTGAGGGCCGCGTTGGCCAGCTTGGGGGATGCACAGGCATTCCTGGCAGGCAAGTCCCAATCATGTCAATTGGAATGCAACAGCCGCCAGTTCTCCCAACCTGACAGCCAAGCAGGTGCGGATTTCGCAGCTCCATCCGTGAGATCACAGCAGCGCCCTTCCCTGTGGGTTCCTACCTGTGCGTCTCTTCTGGAGAGGCTTTCAGTGGCTCTTTGCATTTGCTCGTTTAATACTTGAGGATCCTGAAGGAAGACAAAAGCAAATAAAGACAGCATGAGGCTCAGACGATCGATCTGTGCCACTCAGTGGCCCAGCGGCTGCTGGATTTGGCTCCTGGGCACAGCGGCAATTTTTTTTTTTTTTTTTTTTTTTAAATCAAACTTTTTTTGTGCTTCTTTCACCATTATGGAGGACTTACAATGGTGAAAGAACCACAAAAAAAAATGTTTAAAAAAAAAAAAAAAATTGGACGCCAGGAGCAAAATCCAGCAGCCGATGGGTCGCAGAGTTGTATCTGATCCC